TTTAACGACGCTTATTACAAAACTCATTATTATCTCACATTTTACATATTTAGCTAGAGCGCATTTTTCGTTTAACGACATGTTGATATACCCAGCTCCCAATATCCACTTGACTATGGGACTGCTAGCGAATGCATTTCAAAAGAATGAGGAAAAGAAAAAAAGAAATTGAAGAAAAAGTGAGGCACAACAGCAATTGATTGTAGGGAAACGATAGCGGAAGGATGTGTATGTACTCAGCAATTATAAGACGACCAAAATCCTCGACAGCGACAGCCGAAACAATAAGATGGAAATGATTCTAAGCAAGTATTTTCCAGAAGATCTAGTCGAAAGTTCTAATCTGAGCAAAGAGAATTTCCTAAAATTATTTCGTATAAGCTTGGCAGCGATTTTTCGCTATTTATGTTAGAAGAGCCTAAAAAATCAGGATTAACTTTTATCTACCACCACACTAAAAAGCAACAACTTCTCCCTTTGCAGTCATCTATAGTACAGTTTTCTTCATACTTTGTGTTCATAATGTCGTGCTAATTTCTTCTTAATTGCAAAATATGATAAAATAAAATTCCGGGTCTCCTTCATCTTGCTCCCATTCTTGCCAGTCACTTAACATTTATACCGTTTTTGTTGCTTATAGCGTAAACAACTGCTCTCGCCAGTGTTTTTCAAATATTTTGTAGTACTGCATTATTACTTAATAGTTCTTTTCAGGACCAATCAACTTTTAGGCATCGAAACAAAGTTGTCTGTAAGAGAAGCTTTGCGATATTGCGTAGAATGTTTCTTACGGATTGTCCTGGTTAATCTACGCAGTCATTAGATCAATTCCACACTTACCCAGTCATGGCGTGCAACCCTTGTTGTTGCTTCACCTTAAAGGACAGTGCCGTGATGATAGGCATCTGGACGCTAGTAAGTCAATTCTAAATAAAATACGCTTCCGTCACTACTTCCAAGTTGTAGGTTTACTCCATAGCCTCGTTATTCTTATTCGGTTGGCAGACTGGTGTACTAAACCACTGTCGGTCGGTCACAATGTCTCAGGCGAATCTCCAGTGCGAATGGGATTGCCCATGCGTCGGAGCTTCGACTGCCAGGACTACACGAATCATTGAAGGTTCACATTTCTACCCATTCCCAGCTCTGGTTAGGTTGCCCCTTCAGTAGCTTTTTTGCTTGCACATGTGAAAGTTGGGAGGGAAGAGGTGTGCGCCTCAGTGATCGTCTGCCATTCTGCCAACTCATATAATAAGAGATCTGAAAACAGTTAGGAATAGAAAAGAATTCAAATTTAGGTATTCTCGATAGCCCAGCTTGGCATAATGGGTTGGCAGATGGCAGCGATTAAATATGAGAAAGATCGTGCAGCGAACACTCTCCTTCCCAACTATAACACATATGGGAAGTACGATATCCCATCCTACTATGAGTCATACTGGCAAAGTCCTGAGGAGCGCTATTATACCGGTTTGTTAGTCACCTATCTTGAGAATATTTCCATTTGTTTGCTCTTCGTTATCGATTTTCACTTGTCTGTTCACCTATGAAAGCAGACCAACATGAAAGCTTCAAGGGTTCAAGAATAGGGCGATGGCACTCAGAATTGTACTTGTTAAATTTGCTGGTATTCACAAACAAAATTGGATT